CTGTTTTAAGTAAAAATTTTTAATAAAAAAAATTATATATAAAAAAAAAAAAAAAAAAAAAAAAAAAAAAAAAAAAAAAAAAAAAAAAAAAAAAAAAAAAAAACCGAATACCCTGTACAGCACTTGTGACATCCATAAATCTATCAGTTTGAAAAAAAAAAGCGCTTTAACTTTTACGTGTTAGCCCCAGTTCAGGTCATGCAGGTACAAGGTGTGGGGTAAAAATCAGATAATGCGCAGTTGTTGTGTTACATTCGCCTTTTGACTTTAGACGAAATTGAATATAAAAAGTCGATTAAGTTTTCAGCATCATTATAAATGTGGGTTGCATTATCTGTCATAGATCATTGCCGTTTTGTTCAGATATCATTAAGGTATAGATAAAGTACGAAGCGCTGAGCTTTACGAGAAATAGAGCAGATAATTGGCGAGGCGAGCCGAGACAATTATCTGCTCTATTTCTCGTAAAGCTCAGCGCCGAGTGCTTTATCTGGCTTAAAGCACGAGTAATTAACCCTGTGCATTGGTGCGTAGAACGCATTCCTGGATGACGTGACTTTACACGAAATAAAGCACGGCGCGACCTATTGTCTTTTGACAGGAGAGTGCTTTAATCATATTTTGAAAATAAAGTTGTAATGGGTAATATTAAGGGAAATCGAAGCATCATTAAAATGCTGACGTCATAATTGGTTTTGTATACAGGTACCTCCGAATGAAACCATACTCTCTCTCTCTCTCTCTCTCTCTCTCACACACACACACACTTACATTTACTTACAATTATCTCTCAACTTCTACAGTTTATCTCTCTTTCTGTCTCTTCCCTCTCCCTCATTCTCTCCCTCAAAAACACAGACTGCACAAAAGGAAATCATAAAGCGTACAAACTATATTTTGAAATGCGTCCTAAGTTTATTCTAAATTGCTTTACATCGCAGGATGTTATGTCTATTGGACTACGAGAACATGGCGTTCAAATGTGATCACATCAGCATCATCGCAAAACAAATCTCTCCAGCTAGAAGAAACGTATCAAACAAGCTTCTTTTTTTACGGAATCCAGTTCTACATCCGAATATCAAAAAATCATCATTGGAACTAATGAGTCCTTTATATATATATATATATATATATATATATATATATATATATATATATATATCCGTTTCTTGCTTTGGTGGGGATCTGTCGTCTTTATCGATCGTCACCTAATATCCGATTGCTGGTCCGGAGTAATCGGCCATGACATCTACTCTTGCAGGCTCGGCGTTTTCATACACTTTGTCGGTAAAGTAGAGCTGAAAAAAAGATAAAAGAAAGGTTACGAAAGGAGCACATACCCGCAGTATCTCTTGCGCTTGGCTTTTTTTCTCATCAGTCTTAGTTGTCCGCATGCCATGGCAAAATGCACTATGAACAGCAAAAACGCGACAAAATATGTCTTGAACCATGTTCCATACTGGTACATTTCACTATAATACCCTCCTCTTCTGCTGTTTTATATCTTTCTCGGGGGAGATTTTGGGACAGGGTGTCCCATGTGATACATGTATATACTCACCAAACAAATATTGCCAGAAAAGCTTCCTGGGAGACCTGGTACGTTGTACGTGGGCGGCACATAACCGACGAAGAGAGGTTCTTGTGGTAAACAAACAATAGACCATTTGAAATCGTGGTCTGGAACTGAAAGTAAAGTAAAATTAAAGAGATGCACATTTTTTGAAATTAATACCCGGGTATATCAGTTGTATTTAGTAAATCGCTGATTGTTTAGTAGTGAAGTCATTATCTGTTAGATTTAGTATACCATAGTTATAGTAATCCCTTACTTTATGAGGGATTTGTAATATAATAACATGATATAACACTTCTAAGATAAAACCCAATAGGTAAACCATGCATACCAATTGGTGCTATAACAAAACTCTCGTATGCGGCGTCTCCGGCGTATACGGTGAGGGTTAAGACCTTGCCATTCCATCTCAAGATCACCAGTACATACCCGGCCCCTGGTGCCTGCAATGATACAAAACTCATATTAAATAATTCATATGTTTCAAATTAGTCTTCAATCATTCGCCTATGAGATCCTTTTGTCAATTTATCTATTCATTTATTTATTCATTGTTCAATTCATGAGTAGATACTTGTGTGGGTGCTCCTACTGCATTGATGTGCTACCAATGGATTCATAAAAAATATAAACTACTCTTTAAAAAGGGAGGCAGTTATTGTACTGTTTTGAGGATATGACCACTGACCTTGGCCTTTATAGTCACACCCAGGCCAGGGATGCTGTCTCTTTACCAGTTATATGATTGTCATTGGTACATGTACTCCCTAATGAGGTACTATTAAATATATAAAACACAATTCAATAAATGAGATATATGAATAAACGCACATCGTTTGTGACTGTCAAGGGAACTTCCTGGGCTAGGGGGTTCCTGATTACAACAGACGCTGAGATTACATCACCGCTTATGGAGATGGTAATGCACCCGTAAAGAAGAACAGCATCCTGGGACCCCTCTCTGTTGAAGACAACTGCAGTTAGCCAGCTGTCCCGAGGACGCATGTTCTTAAAGTATGGGATTTGAAGTCCGCCTTGAAAATAAGAGACCAAACTGTTGTAATTAATTGTATTGAAAATCAATTAAAAGGTTTTCGAATACTATGAACAAAATAAATTTATTATGGTCAATAAGAAAGTATTTAGAAGTAGTAAAAAGTAAATAAAAAAGTAAATAAATAAGTAAGTTGAATACTAAGAAGCTAAATCAGTTACTAATAATTACATAATTAAAAATAACTAGATAGATATAAATAAATAAATTAATTAAAAATACATCCTTTTACCTGATCCGTTAAACTCGGCGCATCCTGGCTCTATTACCGACAATCCTACTGTGCCCACTGGTTCATTGGCGGCGTAAAGTCTGTTGTTGTCCGAGTTCAAGTTCACATCAAAATTCCACCGACCTGGAAACTCAGCTGAAATGATAGTAGACATAACATATAGGAAGCAACTGAGCTAATGCCCAAAATTATTTCAGTGGAACCTCTCAGCAATCTTTATATACCTTGAAATCACTGATTCAGCTATGAATCATCTGAATAAAAATGACGCAGAGTAAAATTTAAACTAAACAACAGAGCAATTCAAAGGCAATTTCTCAACACAAGTTTTTTTTTAATATTAGAGGACAAGAATGAAGAGACGGAAGTATGACCACTTCTTTCCCTTTATTGAAGTGACTATCCTCAAAATTTAATCAAATTTTGTGAAAATGGAGATACAATGTTCATGATGCAACTGCAACAACAACAACCTGCTCCGTTCGCAGAAGTGATAAGGCTATTTTTATTAGAATATTTAGTGTTAAATGTATACCAGTTACAAACCTTTGTTGTTTTCTTTCCTCCTAAAATAAAAAAAATCTGTAAAGGTAGTTTTACTCCAATATTGATAATAACACTGTATATATCCTTAATCGATTTATTACTCGTTGAAATACAAAGTTATAGAACTTACGCTTTCCGTCACAACGACAAATGTTAAAATTAAAGATAAGATGTCCACAGTCAAGCGTTTCATTCGCGTTCAGGTACCATACTTTGGTTTCTTCTCCTATAATTTCTTGGTATGCCAATTTCTGAGGCATGAGAGTACACTTCTCTGGAATTAAGGATACATCATTTTCAAAAATTAAAATAATAATCAGCCTTCTTACGGATATCACACAAGTATATCACAAATACATTTAAACTGTTACATTATTACTTAAGTGTATGGATTCTCCAGACCCAAGGTCCCATAAACATAGATTGTGGCAGTGCCACAGCTGTAAGAATTTGGTTTTAGAGTTATCTTAAAAGTATTTTTTAAAAATAATTTTTGAATTATAGCACATTAAAATAAAATTCGTAACGTAGGTTGTGACAGTGCTACAGCCTATATGCTGTGTGTGTGTGTGTGTGTGTGTGTGTGTGCGTGTGCAAAATGTCTCTGAAATTTTAATATTTATAGAGCTCTTAAAAGTGAAACATGAATAAAAATATATAAAATAGTAATGATAACAAGAAAATCCTTAAGTTAGAGCTTTTTAAATTTAAATTTAAATTTAGGAACCGGAGACCTTTGTACAGTGGACATTCGTCCCATATACTAATCCCAATACTCTGACTAACCCTAACCTGTACTAATCGCATGGGATCCCGGACTTCCAATCCTAGAATTTCCATTCCTTTCACGCTTGTAATGGCTCAAAGTTTTCAATATAAGTTTTCCGGATATTTTTTCAGCCTTGATTATCAGTGTAGATGTTTTGAAATAAATGTTAAGTTAAGACCACATCTGTAAGTTTACTGGTATCTTCACCCAATACAAATTAAAATGAAAGGATTGTACACTTGGAACTTCAGACAAATAAAATGTTTTCAAAATAAATACCCACTTAATGGCTATCTATGTACCTGAACTTATAACTTAATGAACTGATTATTGAAATAACTTACTTGATCCAAGAGGTGGTGGTGCTTCCGTTGTAGTTGGTGGAGGCGTTGTATCTGAAATATAATATAATATAATATAATATAATATAATATAATATAATATATTAATATGACATTGTTAAAACATACTAAAAGCTTAAAAATAATAATTATGCTCACCAAGAGAGGATGAACCTCCACCAAGACAAATTGTGATAATTAACAAACAAATTGAATGATATGTTTCAAAAGGTAAAAAGGGGCTCGAATGTGGCTAAAAGTGCATCACCAATTTTCCTTTGAACAACTGTTTATCGTAAAAACCATCACAATTATATCATCTTTCCAAAAAATGTCCTTAATTGTTGGCATTGGTTAAATGTTTTCGGTACCAGACACCAGAGTTGTAAGGCCGTTTTTTTTATTCATTTTTTCTATTTTATCTATTTATCTATATTTTTTGCGAAAAACTCTCCTTAAAAATGGGACAGAATAGGCCGAGATATCTCCGTGAGCGAATAACGACTATACAAATTATCCTTGTGACCTTGTTAGATGGTATAAAAATAGTTTAAGGTGATATGATACGTACACACGGGGCACTGTTCAGTCTTCCCGAGGGGGAGGTACTTAACACGACATAGCTGATCGGGCTGTAGCTCGCAGCTGACACAAACAACGGCTTCTTCGCCCGCCGGTGGGGGTGCTGGAAATGCCATGGAGGCCCACAACGATCCGATGGCGCATTGCTTTAGGGTGACATTTTTCAGTAGGGTGTAGGCGAAGTCACACTGCCAGTAAAAGGCGCAGTCAATGTCGGCGACGTAGGCGACACCTTGTGACACGCCCGGTTTGTTCAACAATGCATCGGTTCCTTGCTTCCTCTAAAAATGAAATAAAATTTAATAATAATAATAATAATAATAATAATAATAATAATAATGGATTACTTGTATATTACTTCATGAACTGTACAATTTTATTACATAGTACATGTAGCATGAAATGCGGTTCGCTCATTTAAATGACAAATCGCTAGGTGAAAACGGCTCTTGCCAGCTTTCTTACCCCTCGATAAATGCTGAGCGTAGGTAGCGCAGACCAGCGCTAGACACACAAGTACAATCTTCATTGTGATCTGGAAACAGCAACAAAAAAACTATCATTTAGACGGCACCCAGTCTTCGCTGAAAGAGAAACCATGATTTCGTCCATTTTCTAAAACAGATATATCTTACTCATACTAAAAAAGAAATTAATGAAAACGATTACCAAATGGATAGATTTGTTGCAGCATTCCTTAGTATCTATTTAATAAGCGTAATTTTAATCAAAATCAATTAAAATTGTGTACAGAATACGCGCTTATATCAAATCGGATCATTTTAATATTTCTTTTCATCACGGGTAAGATACACAATCCAGACCAGACTCGTTTTAACGAGTAGTATTTATCGTATTGAAATACATGTTCCCTGACACCGGTATTCTTATCAGTAGGGGACAGAAACACCTTATTCCCCCTCCCCCCAACTCTCTATGTCTTTAATACAAAAGTACCAATATATAAAAATAAACACGAAAAGAAGAAGGCCATAGTGGACTTCCCTGTAAATTTTAATTTCTGGTCGAGACCTGAAGTTGTCTGGTCTAACTATTCCACCTTACCTTTCAGCTGTGAACCCGTCCACGGCCAGGAAGCAGTGTGATAGTCTAATGGAGCGTCTCACCTCTTTTATCTTCCTCTGCGACTTATTCAAGTAAGAAGAATGTTAATATTTACGTAATTAATGCGCGTTATTCTATTACGTCTGGTGTCTCTATGGCTGTCAAGAGACAAACATTGCGGTCGACGCCAATTTCAATTGTTAATTTCAAAATAATTAATGCAGCCTTTTAGAATATCTTTTTCATTTGGGCATGTCCTTTTGGCAGGGGTCAGTGGTGTTAAAATTCCTTCTGACTATATGCGATCATATTTTAAACATTATGGCCTAAAATGAAATTGAGCTTACACTAGACGTTCTAACAAATTAATGATACAATAAAATGAAAATATTCCTCTTAAACAATGCACTGCGACTGGCAGATTTCATAAGCCACATGTCATTTTATTTCATATTGCATATGGGCGAGACAAAAGGATGGTCCGATAATGAAATTTATTATGATATAATTCAGTTGTTTGATACCATTTGTATTATGTTATGCACATATATTTAGCGTTACCTGTTCAGTTGAATAAATCTACGTCACCACCCTGTAAAGAAGACCGCAATTTAAATGTGTATGGACCATGGTCGAGGTGAACTTGTACACGTACACGACATCCATTTATGATGAGACACAATGGTGTACGAATGTGTGTGTGTGTGTGTCAAATATACGTACTTAACGACATCCTTTGTTAACTGTGTACATTATACAAGAAAATACAGCAGCACACGCCGCTCTTTTTAAGGAGAGATTCCCCATTTGACAATATTAAACAAACATTCGCATTAATCTTTACTAATTGTACTATTTATCAAAAAGTAGCCACACCCACAATTTCCTTTGTGTTTGTTTATGAATCATACGCGTACGATGCTGTACATTGTTAAATTTATTCCGAATTTGTATGTACATGTAACATGCTTACAGTACAGAGAAAGAGTTACCGGTGTAGATGCCAATATATTTATGATTTACTCACACTTTGAATATGGACACCTCAGCTTATTTTGATATTCTACAGTGATTGCCATAGACATAGTAAAAATATGTCCATTAAAATAAAAAAACTCCACCCAATTCACCAAATTTGCACAGAATTAGCATCAAGACACGTGTCTAATTGCACGAGTGTTTACTTCCGCTCACTGCAATTATCCCTTACAAGTGGCACTGTACGCGTATAAAAACCTTCCACAAACCTGTTTTATGTTTAATCGTCCCGTTCTGCCTGGAAAGCTTGACAAAGTCGATCCAGGTCTTAAACAGGGTTGATTTGTTCTCCTGTGCACCTTTTGCTCCAACCATTGCTACAACAAGTGCTCAATACGGTTAGTATTTCGATTTTGAGAAGCCTATTTATTTTTGTACCTTTATCAAAATCCAATATTAATATGTTGATGTTTGTATATGCAGTAGTTAGGGAATATTTATACCTAGGAAATCAGGTAGCCTGATCTGTTTGAGACATTGTAACGTAGTTGATTTTTTGACGGTATACAAAGTTCACGCTAACAATATCGTTGTGAATTAATACTTTTTGTCTTTATAGATATAAATAATTAACTTATGAGCAGTATATGTAGAGTGAACATTACCTGTCAATAAACAGCATTCAGTATCATTAGTGTCTGTTATGAGGCAGCAACGATAATTTGGCCAATGGCATGGATACTACTCAATTATATAGTACTCATAACTTGTGTATAGTCAATTAACATTTTCATATCAAATAAATAATTGTAGACAGTATTAGACGGATATTTGATGTTTCCTTTAGCTTTCATTATGGTCTTTGAAATATTTGTCATTTGAACCGTGAAGCAGTTAATAAACGTACATATTTGTTTGGGATTTTTTTTCACTGGCTTGGGCATTCAAGTAATAGCAATGGGGTATGATTTCATTTCATTCAGTTACTTAATTCAAAGTGTTAACTTGCGCTCCCACATTGTTGTGTGTGTGTGTGTGTGTGTGTGTGTGTGTGTGTGTGTTCTTTTTTTTTTGTTCGCAAGACTTAAGGTTCGAGAGATTAATGGGAGGGTAATATCACAGACTGTTCTCTCGTGACAGTTTGGAAACTCTTCCTATCCGTTAACAGCTTAATCGGTTTAATTTGTGCTCAGAAACAGAGATTGAGAAAGACACCACACGATCTCAAGTTACCAAACTAATTTAATTTGTTTTGAATATCCATACTGGTAGATATATGAATTTATAAAAATAAAATAAAATATATCAGGACGATGTCTTAATGGTGAAGGATGAGTTGTAATGACTATTCAGTGAATTTGTAAGTATATTTCGGCATTTAATGCTCCGTCCGAAATTTGCGGCATGCGGCAGGAGGGAGAGATATCAGCTATTCCAATAACAACCACTGTTCCAACCGTGTAAATTAAAATTTACCGTGTAAAGTAAATTCAGAATACTCAATCTTTCTTACTTAGCATATGCGATGAATGAGTTAAACAATGTCTGTTTTTAAAAATAAATATCCAGTAACCTCGAGCTCGTCATTATTTCACATAGGAATTAGAAACTTCGCTTCTCGTTAGATTATGGGAAATGAACAGCTCCCGCGTGCGATATCTACACAGTTTCAACAAATGGGGAGGAGGGAGACAGGTCTTGTACCTTGTGGGGAGCTAAAATAATCACGAAAATTTGATATAAATTCAGGCCTTGCATTTTGCTTAACTAATCGCATTTTCTTTTACTTGAATTAAATGTTCAAATTATGTCTTATTGAAAAAACGTGGTATTGAAACGAGAGTGGACCAGTTGGATGGAACATTGATATTATGATAGCATGTGAATTTGCACTTTAACATAACCTTAGGAAACGGGGGAAAAAAACAATTAGCACGGTATCTCCGATAGATACCCACCAAACAAAGTATTATTTACCCACTAATCCACACCCAATCTCTCTTTCTCTCTCTCTCTCTCTCTCTCTCTCTCTCTCACACACACACACACACACACGCACACACACAGAAACACACACACACACACACACACACGCACGGGTACCCGCGCACAATCGGATATTAATAAAACAAGTTAAAAACTATTTTGACATGCTTCTGAAGTTTATTAATGTTTTCCTTTAATACAGGAATTGTCTATGGAACTACGGGAACATTACGTTAATAAATTAAGACATCATAACCGTAAAATCAAATCATTCCAGCAACAAGAAACGCATCAAACAATCACACAGTAACTTATGGAATCCACTTCAACATCCGATTATCAAAAAATCATCATTGGAACTTAAAGACTCCTATAATATAAGATGCAATGCACATATAAATATATATATATATATATATATATATATATATGTTCTCGGGTGTTTTTGTTTCTGCGAAATGAGATTATCTCCGCTTCTCGTCCTGCTTGCGGTCCTTTGTGATTAGCGTCGGCCATTATTATGGAAGAAAGTTTCCTGGTCCGGAATAGAGACCGAGGATATCGCCTATGTCATCGTCAGACAATTCGTCGGTGAAGTAGAGCTGAAAATAGATGGAAAGATGTCAAAGAAGAGCTGAAACATACCCTTGCCCCAAAATGTCAACAATATGAACCTATTCAATGAAAATAACGTTAAAAATCAAAACAAGTTCTATAAATCTATTGCATTTAAGTCGTGCCACTGTATTTCTCTTAGCATATAATTCTTATTCTATTCCGATGTATTCTGTATAGTTCAAATTCCATAATGTGGTATTGTCCCTTCACCTTTTCTGTAACGTTGTTAATCTTAAATAGGATATCAGTGATGTCAGGTCCAAAATAACAATTTTATACCCTACCCCTCATAATAAATAAATAAATAAATAAACTTGTTTTAGCTACTGTTAGGGCCGATATGACGAATCTGATGGTCCGTGAAACAGAGGATCCAAACTCCATATAACAAAACAGGTTGGGGATAGCCTGACATAAGTGAGTCAAAATCTAGGGCGAGGCTTATCTGTGCATATGTATTGGGCACTGGACGCTCTATCATGAGGGGGTGGGGGGGCTCTCTGTCACGTCTAACCGGTGTCATATACCAGAGAGCCCCTATAGGAAGTCTACTTCCCCTTACAGACAGGCTACTTCAGTCCTAGATTTTGCCCCAATAAATCATATCAAGATAACCTATATGAATCTAATGGAGGGTGGGCTCTCTGTAGTCAGGACTCTGGGTTTCTTTACATCGGTTACTCATATCTGTTATGATGTAGGTGGCACAGAGAGGTCACAGCCCCCCCTCCTCCTGTACCACAGACAAAGCATAAACAACAAATCGGGACACAGCCAAGTGAAGAATTCACCCATGAACCTACAAAACAAAAATTCGTCCGCTATTTTATAATAAACAATTGCCTGTTATGCTTTTGATATATGCCCCCTCCCCCTGCAAAAGTGGGCAAAAAATCTGGGTCCACAAGTTTATCTATAATGTAAAATAGGCTACTCACCATACAGATTTTGCCAGAATAGCTTCCTGGAAGACCTGGTGGTGGGTTAGCATCGGCGGGTACGTGACCGACGAATAGAGGCTCCTGTGGGGGGTAAAAGATAGCCCATGGAATGGCGGCTTCTGAAATAATAATTATATGGTATGACGGGCATGAAACTTTGAATGCAACCTTTAATAATAATAATAATAATAATAATAATAATAATAATAATAATAATAATAGAGATAGAAGATTATATATGTGGTCGATTTAGTTCCAAAACATTTGATTTCTTTCAAAATTAGCCGAAATTGTAAAATGGGAGATGTAGAGTATTTTTTTTTCTCTGCATTGGACAACTTACAGATAGATCGCGCAGAATAATGTGTTAAGAATTTGAATGTCAACATCCGCTGGAGATTTGGGACATATTTCACCAATTATTAAATTTATTTTGAAATGACCTAAACTTTGTTAACGTGTAAATGACGTAATTTTGTTAACGAGGCTCTATCATATATATATATATATATATATATATATATATATATATATATATATATATATATATATATATATATATATATATATATATATTTGTAATCTTACGGTAAAATAAATATAGAACAGCCTCTAAGTGTTACTTTGTTTGTTCTTAACTACATGCATTCATATACTCAAAGATGGTCTTGAATTTTGAGGTGACATTAATCGCTTACACATGTACTATAAGTGCCAGTTGGGGAGATTCGGATACATGGAATAAGGAATTGCACTATATATCATGTTATTATAGTGTAGAGATCATACTATAATTAGTGTAGATTATGATCCAGTGTCATCGCTCATTTCTACCATTCAGATGACAGTAAACATATTATCAATTGGACGACCATAATGTCGTTAGCGCTGTGGTTGTTGATAGAGCATACCAAAGCCTAAAACGGGACAATTATCAACTTTTGCAGTCGGCAATTACGTTGTTTTGGGGACTTCAGCTACACGGAAAAACGATCACAATCTATACACCAGAGTGTGTGTGTGTGTGTGTGCGTGTGTGTGTAAACACTGAGTATCAAGTTTCATATAAACACTCCATACCTCCTGGGGCATTAACAGAGTCCTGGTATAAGTTTCCGCTTTCATCATATACGCTCAGGGTAAGAGTGGTGCCGTCAAACCTCAGAACCACGGCCAAGAATCCTGCCCCAGGTGCCTGCAATATAACACCAGAACCCATCTTGTATAATGCTTCGCGTGCTACTTTATGGTTTTCTATACAATCGTTTGCCTACAGTACTTATCTATCAATTTATTTATTTACGCAGTTCATGTTTAACTCATGCAGGTAACATCCATTTGAGAATGTTCAATCTCCACTGACACAAGTGTTACTAAAGATTTAATAAATAAATAAATATACCGGTTATATTGCCAGGGTTCAATGCTCCGTTAAAACTTATGCGTAACAAATGTAACTTATCGATAAAAATGAACTAACTAAAAAAAACTTGTAAATAAAAATAAGATTGAAATCAGCATAAATCAATAAATGAAATATCCGAAGAAACGTACGGTGACTGAGACTTCCAGGGTGGTCTTGTTGCCGAAGTAATCCATGACCGATGCAGAGGCAGAGATCACATCACCGTTTATGAAGATAGAAGGAGTCTTGTAGAGAATGACAGAGTCTTGGCTCACATCTCTGTTGAAGACAACTCCAACTACCCAATTTTCCCTGTTACGTCCGTTCTTGAAGTATGGGATTTGTAGACCGCCTTGGAAACAAAACACCGAACTGTAGTTATCATCAAAATGACAGCTAAAGGTCACATAACATATATCAATTGATTTTTAAAATCTTATGAACAAAACAGAAGCGATATCGATCATGTCCGTCGGGAAATATTTAAAGATAATAAACAAATAATAAACTAATAAGTTAATTGCCAAACAACTAAAATGTTTCTTTATAATTTGATCAACATATTGTATCGAGATAAATCAATGAAAAAGCAAGACTGTCCCTACCTGTTCCGTTGAATTCCACACAGCCATCCCCATGCAAACCAACGGAGCCCACTGGTTCGTTGGCGGCAAAAGCCCTGTTGGCGTAGGAGTTCAAGTTCTTCTCAAAAGACCAATACATAGGGAACTCAGCTGAAATAAGAGCAGAAATACCATAAATGAAAACTCGGAGAGGATGACAAAATATATTTTGTTGAAATCTTATAAGAGCCGCTACACCACTAGTACTGTTGCAGCCATTACTTAATCATCCGAACAATGGCGAGAACATTAAAACAACAGAGCGCACGGCGGGCATTGTACGGTACTCGCCAAAATAAGTCACTAAAGACCTGAACAGAACAAGTTGATCAGCGAACTAACTAGTCCGAGAGGTGAAATATAGCGAAACCCACTTGCCAAGATTTAATTGCTCTGCCCCTGCAGGGACGGCGCGCAATTGTCAAGTGCGCGCCATATTTAATCCTCGGTTGAGTTAGTCCGTGGACTAACTTTGTTTTGAACGCAGCCAAAAAAGTTTAGAAAGTACTAGGAGACTCAGATTTAGTTGAATTGTAGTACTTTTTTCCTCTCAAAATAAATGGCTATCCTGCAAGATTCAATACAATTTGTAAAAAAATAATAATGATAATAATAAATAAAATAAATAAATAAATAAATAAAATTAAAAAAGAATAATAATTGGGATATCTTTTCAACAAGCAACACCAGAAATGCCTTCCTTGTATTTACATACATACGATTTTGAAACTATAATGTACACGATTTTACGTACTGTGTATTATGCGCGTACATGAAGATGCAATGACTTATAACTTCATGTAATCTATACCGGTCGAAATCTGTTGTTGTCCTCGCACCTCGTCATTGAAGAGAAAAGCTTTAAATGTAGTAGAGCTCCTATTCTTTAATTTCCATTATTTATTAGTTTAATGTACTCGTTGAAAGGCTGATTTCTAGAACTTACATGCCGCGTCGCAGTGACATTTTTCAAAATTGAAAAGAAGATGTCCACAGCTAACCGTTTCGTTTCTGTTCAGGTACCAAACCTTGCTTACTTCCCCTACGATTTCTTGGTACGCCGCTTTCTGGGGCATGAGTATACATCTCTCTGGAATAAATCAATTACAAATATAAACCCAATCCAGGGGCGGATTTAGGCCGTCTTCTGGGTCTTCCGGAAGACGGTCAGATTTTCAAGTTTACATTGACGGGTATATAATTTTTTTCTGTCGGAAGACGGTCAAAAAATTGAGAATGGATCAACAAATATAATATGGAAGACTGTCAGAAAACATCTCTGGATCCGCCCCTGCAATCGTCTGCCAATGTTGTATTAGGCCGTCATCGAAGTTTAATGCACATGAGTATTGGACAGGTCTCCAGTTCCTGATGTGACTGACATGACGCCATCAACATCAAACCTCAGAGTGACAAAGATGCCGGATGAGTTGGACGCTCCCGGAACACGCTTTTCTTACGGTTTAAGTGAGGAGTATCAGTGAAGATGTTTTGAAATAAGTCTCGAGTTGAGGCCAAACTGACCAAACTCGAAAACAACTAGAATAAAGAACCGTTTGCCTTAAAAATATATTCAAATAACAAATTTCAGACTAGTTAAGGCCAAATAATGTTTTCTTAGTCCAGTTTTTTTTTCGAAAGACAGACTTACTATCCACAAAAGGGGTGACTTTATAAGTGGGCTGGGTTGTCCTCAGGCAAGATCTATGTAACGTCCTCCCGCTCCGGAAGCAGATAATCTGACCACGAGGTCAACCGTCTTACTATATTAATTATTAATATTGATTAATCTGTAGACTTATAGATGAATGGTGAATAAAATAACAAAAACTTACTGTCTCCAAGAGCTGGTGGTGCTTCCGTTGTGGTACTTACAGGTGGTGGAGCTGAAATATATAATATAATATAATATAATATAATATAATATAATATAATATAATATAATATAATATAATATAATATAGAAAGTCATTTCAGCTGTAAAAAGCTAGAGAGACCATAATCAATTTTTTGTTACAAAATGTTCACTGAACCGTCGCAGAAATATCAGTGAGCCAAAAGTGAAAACAATAATGACAGTGACCTTGGTAAAGAATACAAAAACAGGGTTTAAAGTGATACGTACGCAGTGGGCACTGTGCCGATCCTTCGGGGTGCTGGGCCTGACAGGTAGGGTCGTTCTGCATCTCACAGCTGATGCACACCACTCGCTCCTGGCCCACTGCTGGCGGGGTTTCTGCGCTGGCGCGGGAGGCCCACAAGGTTCCGATTGGGCATACTTTGAGGGTGACATTTTTCAGTAGGTTGTAGGCGAAGTCGCACTGCCAGAAAAATGCGCAATCGAGATCTGCGACGTAGGCGACACCTTGTGACACGTCTGGTTTGTCAACCAAGCATCTTCTCTCGACTTCATCTAGAAATATTTATGGATAGTCGTATTCATAAGATATCTCCACCCATAATTAATGCCATTAATACTGTAGGTAATGAATATATAGTTTGGGATGAAACATAACGTCTATATATAATGGCCATTTTGTATCTCCGATCACCGTTGCTAAATAACTAGATCCAAACAATGACTGATCGGGTCCACATCGATTATAAAATGTAATGGCTGTTCAAAACTTACCCCGCGATAAATGCTGAGCGTAGGTGGCGCCGAACAGGGCAAGACACACGAGTATAATCTTCATTGTGATCTGAAATGCAAACGTTGAGTATCATTTAAATTTTTAATGTTTTCCTTTCTTCACTGAAAGTGAAAATAATGTTCCATTCCTTTTCTAAAGCACATTAAAGAAAGCTTCTGCCAAAGGTACCACTGTAAAACTTGCTGCATTCGTTATTTGAAATATTATTTACCCTTACTGAAGAAAAACAATGACACTTGCAATTAAACTTGCTGCATTTTTTCAGCCACAGGACAAAAATTAGCACTACGCAATCGCATCATCTCTTTTTTTATACTTCTCAGTGTGATTCATGTAACTGTATGCAAGTCTATCAAGTAGCTTATGTAGCTCTTATATGCCATAACAAGTCCTAAAAACCGTGCCTGTTGATGAGTTCCCTCTTTTATCACGGCTAATGGCCTATTGCTAAGGTGACTGCTAAATGCATTATGTAGAGGGCAAAAAAACCCTTATCACCCCCCCCCTCTTAAAATCCCAAAACACCGATGTCTTATCTGCTAGAAAAAAAAATACAGTCGAAACACTGAAAATGATAAGCTTCTGGTCAGAGGCCTCAAGTTGCCTGGTGTAACTATCTCTTCTTACCTTTCAGCTATGGACACGTCTACGGTTAGAAAGCAGTGTGACAGCCAAGTGTCGACTCTGGCTTTTATCCTCTTCTCCTACCTACTCAAGCGGGAAGACACTTAATATTCATAATATTTATGCGCGTTGTTCTTCCACTGAACTTGTCTCTGTGGCTGCCAAGGGACAAAGAAGGGCGGTTGACGTCAATTTCAATTGTTAGTTTAAGTGTGTTAAAAGCCGCATTTCAAAATTATGACTTTTTCTTGTTTTGTCATATCCCCATTTTGCGGTAGTGTGAAACCAAAACATATTGTCCTTTTGAATATATGACATCATATTGCAAACAATATAGCCCTAAATGAACTTAAGCTTGCTGTAAGTGATATATTTCCTCTGAGAGAAAATATACATTTACACCCTGGAGCTTAAATTTTTAGATTATTTATAAACTATATATATATATATATATATATATATATATATATATATATATATATATATATATATATATATATATATATATATATATATATATGTTATAAACTTTGTTTTTATAAGCTATATATCAGCTATTTTTATCAGTTATTTTATAGTTAAGTTTTAATTTGCCATTTTATCTCTTACCGTTGTCACTTTAATTATTTATATATATTTTTTTGTAATATCTAGAGTTGTTAAATGGAGATATTTAGTTCTTTTAATTGTGATGTTTAGCTTTTAGATTAAAAGCAATTTAAGGTGCATTGAGATTTGTAATGGAATGTGCCATATAAGAATAAATTATTATTATTATTATTATTATTATTATTATTATTATTTATGAGACATTTGGTTTTACTTTTTATTTCAAAGTTGTCAATTTCAGTGTTCATGTCTAATTTTCTCATTTCAATATCCGTTACACCACTGCAGAACAAATGAATGAATGGAATAAAGACAATGCAATGTACCTGTATATTCCGACAGGTAGACCGCAAGAGACCATACATGAATTTTTGTTGGATCATTGCATTGTACATTTCGCATAATGAGAGACGCTAGGATTGACTATACGTGCATCAGTTTAATAAATAACGCTATAATTCAGTATTTTAAAGGTATATATGGATTGTTTATGTATTAAGTGGTACAGTTTTGTAAGACGATTAATCATTATTTTCTTAATTCTAATCACTGCACGAACAAAGAAGACCGCAACTTAAATGTTTGTGGCTGTACACGTTTAGTATCCTGACTTGTTTGGATGCGTACGTGTCGCTTTGGAATTATTAGTGTGTTATCTCTTTGCTATGCTGAAACAGGGACATTCAATAAAATATATATGAATTTATAATTAACTTTTCAATGCGACTTTTTATTGTGCCATCTTCCGGTCGTACGTTTATATTAACTTTATAACATTACAATTCGATGCACGCAATGGTTCTTTTGATAAGTAAAAGGCGTTGTTTTTTATCTTATAGAATAGTACCGAGTGCCACATGGTCTGTTTAATTGCGTTAAATTCATCATATTGTCAACATGCCCAAGCACAGACAAAAGCATATGGAATTTCAACAGGGTTGGGACATTTCGTATCATCTGTGGTCACGGAATACTTCGACGCAAGGAGGTCACTGCTTGGAGACTTCTACAATAAGTGGCATGAGTAATGCACCTGACATGAAGCAGAGTATCCGCAATAATGAAAACCTTTTTAAATAAACTGGAAGTAAATTTTGAACTGAACCATATTCGTGTTGAATTTTTAACAAACATTTTGTAAGTTGATAGTCACTCTCATTTAATTGGTGACATCGTGCTAAATAATATGTTTTGCGGGAAATCATTTGGTGTTTATGGAGTACAAAGAATGAGAAATATACTTCTTTTGTATTAATGGTGCTTAAATATGACCTCTTTTGACTAATAATAAATGCAAATAAACTCATTGAATGGAATGGTTTATATACTTTATATTCACTTTTTTCCTTTATTTTTTTCTTTTTTAATAGATAAGATCAGATAGTACTTTATTATTATATTCATTCAAAGTATTAAACGAAAACTTCTGTGATCTGAGAATTTTTCCGATTTCCACGAGTATAAGTCAGGTAAAATACGTTTTTATGCTCTGCATTGCTGTTGAAAAGGCTTTGTTACCGGTGTACATGTAGAGGTTTATGTCTGTATTTAAATTTAAAATCAAATAGATTGATTAAACCCTTTGTATTCCAAGCAAATATTTTTGATGCTAGGTACATTACAGTGTATGTCTGCGTCTAAATTCCAACATGCCTCTAAACAACTAATACAAATTATTTTGGTGTTTGGGGTCATTGTCTTAATTTCTTGGTGCATTTTTCAACTTTGTCTCAAACCTGTTAAAACTCTTGAACTGAAATATATTAATTAATAAAGAAACTACAAAACCGAAATTAAGGTACTCGAAACTGATGACTTTTTCTCATTTTTGAATAAAAACTCTGTCCTGTCATCAAAACCACTCATATAGGTTGCTATCTTCTCCCGGGACGGTCACGTAAGCATCCTATTCTTGTGATAATATTTCATTAATATTACAACGTCCGGTGTGCTCGCGGTTACCGGTTGAGAGTGGTCAGGGGACACGTCATGTCCTTAATGAAGACGCCTTCACACCTGTGTGACATCTTCTCATGAGAGTCGTTTTATGAGGACACGTCCTTAGACACCTGACGCATGACGTTAATAGCGTTGACAGTGCGGGTATTAAGACGCACGCTCTACGATAAATAGTTCAGATGGAACTCTTGACAATGTTTTCAAAAGGACTTAAGTTTTTGTGCTACATGTAAATGTAGTTTATACAGCTTAAATCTCTTAGTTTCCTACGTACTTCGTACGTTGAGTCCACTTTGCGATGGTTGTTCGTTACAGGCATTTAATGCAGTTTAAATACAGGGGACGAGCTACTATAATCTCTGGTACAAAATGTCATATTTGAGACGATTACTACCGCTATTTGTCATACCCTGTAGGGGCTTGGTTAAAAAAACGAGGTAATAATGGTAGGTGTTTTTGATTCTTCGTGAAGCGTAAAAATTAACGATTCTTACTTCAGGTACTTTTTGAAACGGTAATTGACAATATGACTTACTAGAAAATCATTTAGGCGCCTACAGGTGTTCATGTACATGAATTTTTCTTGAACAGACAGAAGAAAGCAAGAAATTAAAAGATTTGGGTAGAGAGAGCCGGAAAATAAACCGGTCTGCGGCACGGACTTGAACATAATAAATATGTGGTAAATATAATTAGCATCTATTCGCTTTATTAATGAGGTTGTCTGAATCCAGGCTGAACGCCCTGTTTTTTAAACCGGAAGTAGTCCCGTCCGCAGCCGCACGTGCACTCTGGTAGTAGTGACTGCTCGGTGTGCCCATCACACCTAACACAATGCTTCTGAAATGCTGTGGACCTGCTGCATACGATGTAACCATTGGACCGTGCTGTAGTGGTCGAATTTATTTGTAAACCGGAACTAAATTTAAGAACAAAATGTTGAAAGATTAAAACAGGGTGTAACTATGATATATTTTGTGGATAGTGTTCTCGGGGAATCGGAATCTTTTGATAAAATACTGTTTTACCGATTATCTCTCGCTTCACAAGTGATGCCTTTCCGACCATGTGTACTGTTAAGGGTGCCATCGAATGTGTGACGTCACACTAGCTACCAAATAGTTTCCATGGTGACATTTACAAAGCAACAGCACATGCAGACCATTTATCCGACGGAGGGAGGCGTTATAGTGTTCCCCAGGCAGCTGCCAGATACAGTGTCTGCCGTCATACTGCCTATACAAGGTCCCATTGGGTGTTTTTGTTATCCGTGAAAGCCACTATTTATTTCCCAAGATGCGTTAAAGGTTCATATTATTTACCGTGATCCGTGAAACACCCCATTCCCCTGACACGTGAATGCAAATCTTTAGTCTTTGTTATTCTCAAAGTAATTATATCCGGGGATTCGTGATTTTCAGGATTATCGAAACGTACTACAGTGTCAAACACGTATGAATGAATTTTTATTTACTGTTTTGTGAATTGGTGATTTCATTTCCCGTGAACATCGATCATTCCCCCAACGGACCCTCTCATGGTTTGTAGAAAGGTTGGAGGGCACCGGTGATGTGCAATTGTTATCACGAAGTAGACAACGGGGCAACTTGAGTCTTTTTTGCTTTCAACGCTGTACGTAAAGGTGCACGGTTGAAAACATGAAATGAATTGGCAATACAGTTGTCGTCAAGATAACAGCATAAATATTTACAGATTTAATAATCATAATTGCAATCCTCATTAGGTAATTGTTCCACGTCCAATAACTATCGGATAACCATGATTCATCCACTCTATTTTATGTAGCGTTAAAACATTTGTGGTCACGGTGTTTGGGTTTTTAGTCATACATTGTACATCACACCTGACATGACAGCGCACAATATACATAAGCATTAGTTCTTTCATACAAAAAAATTAGACATCAACAACTATTTTTAACAAACAAGATATACCATATCCAAAGCTGCAATCAGAATTATGATCCATGCACGTATTTTTAGTTTCAAATGTTTTCTACTTTTTGTACCTTCACATTATGGATATATATAGGGAGAGAGAGAGCGAGAGTCTGGTAAGTCTTATAAACGCAGAATAATCATTAATATTTGAAATGCATTCGCTAAAACATTATTAAAAATAACAAGTTACTAAAGGAATACCCGCTTTCCCATAGATTTCAGTGGCACTAGTGCGATACACTGGGAGTAACGAACTTGGGCCTAGTAATCTTATCTGGTCAATGACCACCATTATTTTGCAAACTTTTGATGTATTTGGATGCCTCTTCAAACAAGAAAAAAAAAAAATTAAAATTTGCAAAGGTAGAACATGTGCATGTAGGTACCAATCTACCTTAATCAAGAGAATTCACTCACCCTCATTGCTCATGTAACTGGTACCCCGGTATATAAATCACGCTATCTTTGCACACGGTATCGATAGTCACACATAAAGCCAGCTAAAGCCAGCAAGGAAGGAACTGTGACAATAGAATCGACCAAAAGCCAAGTGATCGCTCTTAGACGAGGGAGAGAATACGTCATACTCCTATATTGTATACTGTTCCATAAGCAAGAGTTGAGAAACAACCCGTTCGACGATTTTTTTAGTGGAACTAGATGCCGAATCAATTCGATATGGATGGCAAACGGCTCTATAAGATTTGGATTGTCGTTTGCATGGTGTTCTGCATGACTTATACATCAGGTAATCTTTAACTGTGCGGTACAAATATCCATGCACTCTTCATACAAGTATTTGTAGTACAGTAAAAAATGCACAGGAAATGTAACGGGTTTTTGCATCCGAAACACTTTCGTTAGAGAAAGGGACAAGTGACGGTAAAAATACGGATGCTACATATAACTTAAAATAGGGAACACTTTGTCGTTAAGAAGCGAATTGCTGAAATTCCAAGACATTTTCGCATGATTGAGGTCTCTTGCCCATTGCATGTTTTCAGTTCAATTGCATTTCAAAACAACTGATTGCGTGGTAGCCAGTATTGTTGAAAAGAGTAGGCCAAAAATAAATTGAGGTTGATCTTGAAAAATCAAAACAATTTTTGCCTTCTAAAGCAAAAAATAAATAAATTAATTAAAAACAAAAATAATAATAATAATAGGCTCCTTTTTTACTGGTAAACGTAGAATATATATCACGGAAATGATCAGGTTACCTGTTGCTGGATTTTAACTCGTGTCACGTATTATAATGTTTATTTATTTATTTATTTATTTATTTATTTTGTGAGCGGGGTGGTGTGTAAAACGAAGGGGGAATCTTGGCCCACTGCACCCCGACACCTAACCCTTGAAACAAAACATTTAAACATGGATCTGTCTGCACATTTAATCATTCCATCAACATTTTCAGTTTCTCGGGAGGCTGGCAGGACAAGGTCTGACCTGTTCGTGAAAGCACCCAGCCGCCGCCTGCTCTCTGCGAACACTCAACAATACGTGCACCCTACAGAAGGGGGCCCGACAGTGCTGGAGTGTTTAGCGTTCTGCGTACGCCTCCCGGCCTGTGTGGTAGTGGACTATTCTCCTTTACACGGCACATGTAGGGCTGACGCTAATCCCGTGGTGACCGCGTTCTATGATGATACCCGGGACGTAAGTTATTGCCTGTTCTTTCCGTATGTCAAATGAAACAAATGTTCAATGAACTTGGGTAAAAGAGCGTTGAAAAAGCCAATTTCTACCAGTACATTGTAATGAACCTTTTTAATACATATACATATGTATAGACATGAACCCCTTAAGCCAGGAAGTTCACCTTTTTTTTATCTTTCTTTTGTTTTGGTTTGCTGAGATTATTATTATTATTATTATTATTATTATTATTATTATTATATTTCGTGTTATTTGTTCTTGAATTTTAAGGGACTTAATCAAAATGTCATTCAGAGAAAAGTGAGTGACCCATGTGTCCATGTTGTTTTTCTATTTTGTCGTTGCAGCTCTATTACGCATCTGAAAAAGTGACAAGCGTTGATACCTTTGGAACTCCTAATCAATAAATCACAAATGTTCAATATTCTTGGTTAAAAAGAACAGTGCGACCAACATTCCTCCTTTATACCGGTGGGTTTAACATTCCTCGATAAAACTAATGAGGTCCACATCCCATGATAAAACCATGCAGTGAGTTCCACATTCCGTGATAAAACATTGCCGCTCTCAGGTCAACATTCCTTGATAAAAACAATGCAGTGAGGTCAACATTCCACGATTACACCATGCAGTGAGGTCAACATCCCTTGATGAATAATGCAGTGAGGTCAACACTCAATGATAAAACCATGCAATGAGTCCAACATTCCATGATAAAATAATGCAGCTATCAGGTCAACATTCCTTGATAAAACCATACAGTGAGGTCAACATTCCTTGATAAAACCATGCAGTAAGGTCAACATTCCATGATAAAACCATGCAGTGAGGTCAACATTACTGAAAAGGAGTCAGTGCAATCTACCGTACATTCCGCGATAAAAGAAAGCTACTGTGATCAACATTCCTCAAAGAAAAATTAACATTATTTTATAAATCAAGCGGAGTCAACATTACTTGAGATAAGTTGTTGCAGAAAAAAAAAAAAAAAAAGATGACACGTTTTTTTTCTTGTCTGTTTTCTGCTTAACATACAAAATGCAACTACTAGGGACACCAAGACATTAGAGAATTGGTATTCCAAGCCTAAACGAGCTTATGACAGGAATAGGTAGATAAGTTGTATTATCAGATGTATTACACCAGAGGTTCTTTTGTATCATGTAATAATATTAGCCAATTTTGGCTCTGTCTCACCTCTTCAAAGTTGGGAAATAGCAGATAGTCAACATCAGCGCTCATGAACTTTAGATACAGCAGATTTTTTGTTGTAAAAGTATCCCAAAAATCGTTTTCCAATACTTAGGCAATAGCGGCTAATATAAATGATGCTGAGTGTAATGTAATGCTTGACTTTATTTTATTGAACATTGCAATAAATAGTTGTCTTCATAATCGCAATTATTCTCATTCGCTGCATTGAGGATCTCATGCAATGAACATATATAGTGGCAAAATATATGGTTTTAACACAAAAGTAAATACATTTTAAATTCTGAATAATTGCTTCTCAGGTTTGCCTGACAGTAATATTAATTGCTGTGTTCTGTAACAGCGTCAACTAAGAATAGATCTGTGCACTTACTGTAATTTATGTGGTTATGGTTATGATTTCGGCCAAAGGAAAAGTATTTGATGAATGCACGTACTGTGAAGTTATAAACTGAAGTTCTGACACGAGCTATTAATACACTTGGCGTATACTGGGTGTGCTTAGTATGTATACGTGGCGTACAAACTTACGGCACAGATATAATATGAATACCAACGTAATACGATTCGCATTCGTCGGCATCCGTCGGGTGCATCCTGAATACGCTCTGCAAGAGTATTGCCTACGGATAGGATGTGTTGAATCCGTTATTCATTCGACGGATGTGCGTCACATAATATATCAGTCGAATGAATGGAACATTTTCGCAATTGTGAGCGTAAAGTAGCGTATTGGAATTGTCTTAGGCCCCATTCAGGATGGATGATCCGAGTGCCTACTGATTCGCCCACTAAATACGGCCGCATTCGTGTGACAGGGGCCTATAGTACAGGCGTTATGCGCAGTCATTAAAAAGATGATGGGGTGCATTTATTTGCCCTGAAGTTCACCAAGCGTAAGGACATTAAATGCTAATAAGCCTATATTCCCATTGGTCTGCTTGGATCGACCCAACTCATTGCAATTAACGAGAGTCCCTGCAGAGTGGGATCGACCCACGTAGACCGCGTCAAGAATGGAGTCTGAAATAACATGGTCATTTTTGAGGCAGCATTTACTGCGATCCATACTAAGCACAGCAGTAGGGTTACTGTCACCGCAGCCTTGGGTGAAATTCACATCCAGCGCCCATTGAGGGGAAAAAATCACCCTATTCTTGGAAGAATCTACAGTCTACAGTACTTAGGGACTGAATAATCTCATTACTTTTATTCACGTCTTAATTAGTTCTTTTATAAGCATCACACTTTGAATTGTTTTACAACCATGAAGAAGAGTATATAACACACCCTGTTGGTACTCATGGATCTCCTGTTTGGTATGAATCATAAAAAAGGACTACGTCCAGAGACATCAAAGAAAACAAAATACTATTTCCTCCTACTCGCAAATCGTTGGTTGACCGCCCTTGCACTTGAATGAAATGTTTTGTGCCATTTCTACTGTAATCGTATAAGTTTCCATACTTGTTTTTTTAATAGTCAACAGTCTTTTCGATATTACAAAGATATAAGATCAAAGATTCATTTTAGATATAAAATATATCTCTGGGATACTTTTAAACGCGTGTACAATAGTTCTAGTAAAACGAATATTTTGGGGATTATTTTAAAGATGTCATTGAGACAGTATTTATGGTCCCTAATGTTCCCCAAGCGTCATTTAAGGCTTTAATCACATTTTAATTTGTGAAACACTTTTTATTACTAGCACTATTTAAAACAGCGGTTGAGTTACTTTCTTTGCAGTCATAGAAGAAAAGTCCTGTCCTGACGATTAAGGTAAGTGTTCATTTCTAACTGTGGTGAATCCATTCAGATAAAGGCACTAGAGAATCGAATGTTTGGATTGTCATTTGCACAATGTTTGGATTGTCATTTGCACACTCTCTATGTTCACATTGTGTTGTTGTACATGTAGTTTATCGGCAAGTTTAAAATGAAAATTCATTTGTATGCAGTGCACGTTTATTCTCACATGCATACAAGTGCATGATAGGGGGCATTTTCTCAGTGTTTGAATTGCAGTTTATCAGTGATCATGATTAGATGATCATTTTTGTTGTTCCTTAGAGAGATCCAGTGACTCTGTTGGGAAGCATCCCAAATTTCATTCCTACTAACAAAAAGTAATATTGTATTTGGTATGCGATCGTTCAATTTTGCAATTGCTGTATACGCCTGTGTTCAAACTGCAGTATACACATTAAAAAAAATTATTTGCTAAAAATTAATACCAGGGGACACAAATGAGCACAGTTAGCGTTATAGTTTAGAAGTCACTACACTTAACAGCGCAATGCAGGTTACATCTACTTAGACACAAAATTCATAAATTAAGGGCAAAATAGACATCATAAATGTTATAAACACATTACCTTTAGCAAATTACATTGATTCGTAGATTATTTCTTTATTTCTGGGCGTATTTGCAAAGGTTTAGTAAAACGAATGTCCTACATTAGTTCGCCATTGAAGGTCTGCTGTACATGACTTAAAATGGCATGATGTATTGTTTTATGCCCATATATCCTGTAAGAGACTTATGTTTCCCAATTAGTTGAAACTCAAAAAAAAAAAACAAAAAAAAAAAAAAAAAAAAAAAAAAAAAAAAAAAAAAAAAAAAAAAAAAAAAACATTACATTAAAAAAAAACATTAACTTTGAGATGAAGATAAACCATTACTTTCAAAAAGGCTGACCAAGATCTACTTTATGTAATTAGAAATGGTGTAAAAGACCGAATTCATTTACAGGAACGGGTCGAGCACGTTTCTCGGAAAATAGAAAAATACATTTGCTTGGGTGAGATAACCCGAGTAGATTTAGCGCAAGACTCCAGGATATGCAACAGCATCTTTATGTGTTTAACTGCTATCCGTCTCAGTCCTAGTTGAAAATCTAAGCATGCTTAATAGGTTGATTTAATGCACATTGTGATAATGGCACGAAATTAAGCATGAGTAATGATGCGCAGTAATAGTAGGTAATGTTAGAGGAACCCGCTGTAGGACAAGGTACGACTAGTTGTTAAATACAGGTAGCTTGGTGATTAGCTACTAAATTACATTTTAGGGGTGTCATTTGGAAGTCTTGGGCGTAATAATATGCATGTAAACTGTTAAAGATACTCCATAGATTAAGGAGCATCAAACAAATATGCTATCCGAGTTTTCATCTTGTTTCCTTCGTCTGGTAACGACGTTATGATAAAAATCTTTTTTTTTCCTGGCCAGTTTGGTGTAATGATATACACAGTATTGTTTGCGATGCAGAAACAATGGCTAATGTTTTTATTAAAAATTTAAATCTTGTGAACGTGATGGTTGCCTTGTTTGCTGTCCATTATTGCCTTACGTCATTTGGCATAGATTAAAAATCTCATTTTAATCCCCATCAATAATGTATCAACTAAGTTGATGAACACACTAGATTGACCCTGAAGTATCTATGAAAAAAAAAATAAATAAAACAACGTTGAAAGTATATGAGAAAATGAACGTTTTATGACATTCCAATTATCCTACAGAGAAGGAAAAATGAAGGTCAACCTGCTGTTGCCCACCGCGGCTCTGCTGGTGACGGTCTTGGCTGTTACGATAGATGGCGCTGCAGCCAATGTTGCGCAGCGAAGACAGAAGAGGGTGGCAGATTTGAATGTGTTTGCCGCGGCAGTGCGCGCCCAGCTGGAATGTGCGTATCTGTCTATTTTGTCTATTTCTCTCTCTATTTCTCTCTTTCTATTACATTTTGATGTAAAAAAAAAAAAAAAAAAACTACGTGTAGAACAGTCGGGACATTTTCAAATCATATGATTTGTGTATAGTGCAAAATACCGAGTTATAAAGTAGATTGCAACCGTAGGTACTACAACTACTTAAATGCAAAATATCAAGCGATGTTTTTTTTCTTTATTTTGATTACAACTCAAACAACAGCCTGTAAGCCAGATATTTGCTTCGCCATCGATTCTTCTAATAGTCTCACGGAGGCCGGTTTGCAAGACGAGAAGAACTTTGTAATGGCGCTAATGCGAGAAATTGCCAGTTTTGGCCAGGACGTACAGGCCCGCTACGCCGCCGTCATCTTCGCTACCAACGTCTCCCTAATCTTTGATTTCAACGTGGATCAGTCCCTCGCCTCCCTGGATGCACGAATCGCCGCATTGCCGTTCTACAAAGGAAGGACGAATATACCGGATGCGATGGAGTTGTGTCGGGAGGCCCTTACGAACCCCGTCTACGGTCCCCGGCCACCAGGAGACAGGAGCGCTGCAGTCGCCATCGTTCTGACTGATGGAGTGGCTAATGAAGGTCAATGCCTCATGAATAATTGTTTAGAGATACAAAAATATTAGCAATTTTCAAATACTTTTATGATATTAGATTCAGCGCGCACATAGACCTTTTAAATAAAATGACATTTACACAGAATCTAAACATATTTGTTTTTCAGGACAAGTGGGCAATATTATCCAAAACAAAGAAAAAAAAACAGTTTGAATTTTACCACATCTTCTTACAGTAAAGCTTATAAATACAATTGTTCCTGTTTGTCCTATCTATGTTTTTATTTTGATCATCGATTAATTTATTGCATTTATATTGACGTATCACAGGACAAATCACAATCGCGGAGGCTGCGCGCCGTATGGCCCTCTCCGGGGTAAAGTCTCTTGCTGTAGGGGCTGGGCCCGGTATAGATGACGCCCAACTCCTGGAGATAGCACAAGGACGACAGGCGAATGTCTTCTCCGTGGGAAGCACCGCCGAACTTGTCGATATTGCGCAGAACATAGGTGTCTCTTCTTGTGCTGGTGAGTTGTGAAACTAAAAGAAACTGATAGTGCGTGTAATAGAGACACGTCCCTTTTTTTGGATTCATACAGGTTAGGGTTAACGTGACGTTAGTGGGCCAAACTTTAGGACGGGGCGAACATGTAGAAATTGGTGGGGTAACGGATCCCGCACCACAGGGGAATCCGTTGTATATTACATTGTTGCCAATGAGTCTGTTTTAACCGGAAAGTTTCCCATCCAAAGTGCTTACATGGTACCCAATAGTAATAATCTTTAAACAAGCAAGTTTCCTGCACATTGTTTAAAAAGTAATTATAAAAATAAATGTTGGAATATGATGTTAACACCGGTAGCTGATTTTTGTTTGTCTATTTATTCCCTTATCTGTAAATAATACCGAAACCGAAGAACAGGTCTTACCAGTGCATGTATATTAGACTTCATCGTTATCTTATAAAGCTAATCACAACTACCAGATAGTTGATTGATTGCCAATTAAACAAATTAAAATCGAACGTCTTTTCTGTATAGATATTGACACTACAACTACAGCTACGACACCAGCAGAAGGTAAGTCTGCTTATGCTTTCACCATATTCGGTTGGGGTCAGGTGTTTTCATAAATTCACAAAAAATAATGAAATGGGTCTATAAATACAAAGACATAAGTCAGGTTCAGAAAACAACAAAGTACGATTACCAAATACGAAAGGTCTCATTTAGTTACATAATCAAATGATTTTGGCCAAACTTGCCATACTTGTTCAAAACCAATATGCTCGATAAATGAATGCAGAAATATAAAATAGGTATAGAAAACAACAAAGAACGAATGTGAAATACGAAAAGCCTACTTTATTCACGTAGTGAAAACTATTTAGCAAGGTGTCGAATCATCTTGTCTCACAGGCAGAAACACGCGTACAGTCTCATTTAAAGCATTTTATTACTTTTTTCGTATCATCCTATTTATATTTGTCATCATTAGCGGACTGTAAGTGGGGTGACTGGAGTCCCTGTGACGCGCCATGCGGAGGCGGTATTCAGCGGAGATCAATGGACTGCTGTGACTGCACGCCCAGGGTGGCAATCCGGTCCTGTAATCGTGATCCCTGCCCAGGTGAGAAAATGATCCTGGTTGTTTAATTTAATACTAACAATTGTCCAGGTGGGTAGGGTGAACGAGGGCGACTATGTTGCTTTCGTAATTTTGGTGTTAGCATTAGAGTGTTTTGCCATCCAATCCCAAACCCTTGCTCTTTGGTTCATACTGTATCACTCACGGGACTGAATGTACATGTACAACCCCCTTTTTTCTTTTTAGTACATGTGAACAAGGCTGACAATGTTATATATACTCAAAATCACAATATTTTTTTCTCAAATAACTATAGATTTATAAACGGTTTTAATTTTTTGTGGATTTTGTTCTTTTCTGGGCATCTTAAACTGCATATTTGGTGTTTTTATTTCAAAAATATCCTCAGTCTTTATGCAAATGTCTAAATTCCTCCTCATTCATTTCGTATTTTGAGATGTTCTGAAAAAAAAAAACACTATTTTCCTGTCACCTTCAAAATTTCTTTGTTTGTACGTTCTTCTCACATTCCGTCATTTACAGTCGACGGAGCCTGGGGCCCTTGGTCTGCCTTTGGCGCCTGCTCTCGCAGCTGTGGAGGCGGAGAACAGATCCGCACACGCAGCTGTAACAGCCCCCCAGTGGCCGGTGATGGACAGCCTTGCCAGGGCCCCTCAGCTGAGATACAGGCTTGTAACGACCAGGGCTGTCCCGGTAAGTGATTACACTTTGATTTACAGGTATATAGATAAATGTCATTTGAAAAAAGTGTGACATAGTTCCTAGATCTACACACACACACACACACACACACACAGACAGAGAGAGAGAGAGAGAGAGAGAGAGAGAGAGAGCGCATAGGACCGCAGACTGATTTTACTGGTAGCTGTTGACAGCTTAATATTTCCAAGTAAATGTAGTCGCCCACGGTACTGTACTTGATGTTAGCTAAAGAAAAAGTAATGGTGGACAGGGAGAAACGGCAAACAGTTTACAAAGATACTCAAAATATTATTCTCAAAACCCCACACACACCTCGGCCCGCAGCACTTTACAACCCTGGAGTACCAAAATAATAATAATAATAATAATAATAATGATAATAAAAATAATAAATAAATAAATAAATAAATAAATAAATAAATAAATAAATAAATAAATAAATAAATAAATAAAATTAAATTAAATAAATAATGATAATAAGAAAAAAATAAAGTAAACAGAGAGAAATGGCGACACTACTGTAATTAAAATTAACCCTAACCAAAACGTATGTTCATTGCTGAAATGATGTCAACGTACATGCATGTCTAACGTTCTAATATTTTTTACAGTTGACGGCCAATGGGGAGACTGGTGTTGCTCATGGTCAGAATGCAGCGCCACCTGTGGAGGAGGTCAGCGCACGCGCACTAGGCAGTGCAGCAACCCAGCCCCAGCCAATGGCGGCGCAGACTGTGTTGGAAGTGGTATTGAAGAGGAGATGTGTAACACACAGCCATGTCCTAGTAAGAACCTACATGTACATATGAAAGTTAATGACTGATTGTATATGGTGTTCAAACATACCTGGTGGCCATTATAGTAAGAAGAATAAGGACAAGAATGGTTAAAGTGATAAGAACGATACATGTAATAGCATGATGATACTAAAAATGGTGAATATAAAAATAAGAATAAAGAAGTATTATCATGTCCAATGTGGAAAAAAAAGAGTTGGATAATTCCATTTGGAATATTTAAAGTGCTTTTTCTTCAATTATTTAAATACATTTTAAAGAACGCATAATATTATTTTAATAATAATAGAGGAAAGTAGTAGTAGTAGTAGTAGTAGTAGTAGTAGTAGTAGTACGTGGCAATCTGATAATAACCTCAAGTCAAGACTTTTATTTTACATGTAATAATGCCATTCACTTTTAAGCCGATGGCGGTTGGTCAAACTGGTCCGACTGGTCAGCCTGCAACGTAAATTCGTGCACCTGTTCACGCACGCGCACTTGCTCCTCTCCGGCACCGGAAAATGGTGGAAAACCATGCATGGGTGACCTAGTGAACCGACGAGCGTGTTTTGTCTTTTGTTGTCTACGTAAGTATTTTATATATGAGTAAATTCTTGTAACTGTGGTCTATTTGAAAACATAAGAGAAAGATTACCTGATGCCTTTTACTGCAGATTTTAACCACCATGTGGCGCTTAGTACGGTGGCGAGACAATTTTTCTCGTGACTGTGAAAACTGAAAGTGTGGATGCGAATTTCTGTACTCTACTGGTATCACATTCAACACTCTTAAAAAGACATATCCGTTTGATTCTGGGAAAGCCAAACGTATTTGAACGTTGTTTCTTGACACCTTGTCTTTTTTTGTCACCTATATCCTGGTTGCTGTTCATGATGTCACACGCCGATGTCTTTAAGATATTTGCATGTAGGAGAGTGACTGACTCATTCCTGTTAAGACCTTCGCCGCGTACATTTGCGTATACTAGTAGCTAGAATCTCAATAAAACTTCGACTTACGGGTAAGCTTTATTTAATTTTACAAATATAGGACAGAACATATATTGTAAGCCGTCTTTATTCATTTCAGCTGACTTCGCCCGCTCTCTTGGACTAGGAGGGCGACTTCCAGGCCCCTTTGGTGGAATGGGCTTTGGTGGAATGGGCGGGGGACGTAGCTTAGGCGGAAAGAGCTGGATGCGATGCTGAAGTCAGAGTCATGTGAACGCAGTCAACATAGGTGCTTTTAAAGTTCATTTATTTACCTTTGGTTCTGGTTTAAGTTTTATTTTACGTGGCCTTTTAAAGCAAGGTTAAAAGCAGAGTTTGGCATTAAACAAAGTATCGTCCATCGTAGAAGGAGGTAATTTTGTCGCGGTTGCTTCTGTAAAACCTCATTGATTCTTGTAACTGAAAACTTTTGATTATTTGACTTCTTGCTTATCTGCACCAAATGAAAGTATTTGATTGTAGAGCTGATTTAATTCGAAATTTTAAGTTTTAATTTAGCCTTCTGTCGTGGGTTGGGGGTAATTAAGTAATCTTATTAAAGATAAAGTGATATTTGTACCGAATGGAACGCTTAATGCAACTCAATAAACCTAACAAACAAAACAATCCGAGAGCACAATTGTTACTTTCATTTCCCTTAACTTGACAACGTGTCCATTTATCTCAAGTTACGTGTAATTATAAAAACAAGAATGATTTTATCTTGGTAATGTTACGACAAAAAGCATGCTAGTTCAAATGTTGTACTACAGGTACATGTATAGTAACTGGCACTGCCGTTTATGTATTACAATGACTTATAACCGAAAATTCAGGTACCTGACAAAATGTTAAATCATTGAATGACCATCAAAATGTTCAGAGACGATTTCAAAATCACTAGAAATCGAAAAAAAAAAAAACAGTGTGGAATCTAAAAAAAAATTGTAGCCAACTTGAATATTTTAACTCCTGTATCTAGATAAACTTCGAAACTCTTATTTCCCACCACACCACATTGTCCAATTATCTATAGAAAATATAAATACCTCATTAATAATAATAATAATAATAATAATAATAATAATAATAAAAAACTTGTGTGTGACAGAAAATAAGGTATCTGCCTTTAAAAATGTTCACTTGTCCCACAGAGGGTGTGGCGCGCGTGTAAAATATTAACCGTGAATTTGTAATAAAAGTAAAACATGAAGTTGTTACTCTCTTGGTGGAGAGTAAGTGTGAGGCACCACCAGAACAGCTTGAAGCCGAGGAGTCACTCTACTGGACGATTACCTACGTTGCTTGTCTTGACATCTGTGGGTTGTGATAGGTGAGATTCCTCACACATCGTTCTGTTGTGATAGGTGGAATTCCTCGCCCATCGTTCTGTTGTGACAGGTGAGATTCCTCACACATCATATTGTTGTCATAGGTGGAATTCCTCACACATCGTTCTGTTGTGATAGGTGGAATTCCTCGCCCATCGTTCTGTTGTAATAGGTGGAATTCCTCACACATCGTTCTGTTGTGACAAGTGAGATTCCTCACACATCATATTGTTGTGATAGGTGGAATTCCTCACACATCGTTCTGTTGTGATAGGTGGAATTCCTCGCCCATCGTTCTGTTGTGATAGGTGGAATTCCTCACACATTGTTCTGTTGTGATAGGTGGAATTCCTCACACATCGTTCTGTTGTGATAGGTGGAATTCCTCGCCCATCGTTCTGTTCTGATAGGTGGACTGCTTCACACATCGTTCTGTTGTGATAGATGGAATGCCTCACACATCGTTCTATTGTGATATATATATATATATATATATATATATATATATATATATATATATATATATATATATAGACTTGGCAGCAGCTACTGCGACCATCATTATTACCAGATTTGAAACCTCTAGGCGATCTGTGAGTAGCCAGTACTCGACGAATCAAAGGTGTTCTAGTTCTACAACCTACAACAAATCTGAACCAATTTGGACAAGGTCTGATCGATGCCTGGAATATTATCGATCCCAGTTTAAACTCCAAGAAACCTGTCAGTAGAATACCTTACCGTTATTTAGCAGTCAGATGAGGTATGACGCACCGATGACCGTTGCTGCGACTAGACATTGACATGAACGTCCTTTGTGAAGTGTTTAACTCTTTTTACAAATGATACTTTGGAAAATGTGGAGATTGGAATACTGCTTGTAATGGTTGTGGCTAGACTAAGAATCAGCAATGTATTTTTGTTTGCTTAATTAGGTGAATTCAACACAATCACAATGTCACTGATGTCACAATTAGAATGAAAGGATTATTTAAATAATAAAATTTAAAAATACTATTAAAACAAGAATCACTTTATACAAGTCGTAAAAGTACAAAAAATCAAACAAAACTGATTTGGAAAAAATATATATTTCCACAAGTCTGTATATATTGCCTTAATTAAGAGATGAAAGGAAATGTATAAAGATGGGGTAATTCAGCCTACCGCTAATAGGCGTGGGAGTATTTTCAGTTCTACCAAGGAAGTATACAAGTCAAACCAGACTTTGGAATTCCTTTAAGTGCATGTAGGATACCATCGATAAATGACTAATTTGTCTGTTGCGTGACAGAGGACACTGGAACGGTCCTTATTCTCTCAAATGTTCACTAAGCGTAGGTCATTTAACTCTTTAATGACAGTATAATTTGTAAACCAGCCTTATTGCTATTAAAAACAGCGATTGGGTTACTTTCTCTGCAGCCTTAGAAGAAATCCCGTTTTGACAGAGTAGGTAAGTTCAGATAGTTTTCAAATATTACATTAAAAAAAGTGTGAAGAATTGATTTACACAAATGTTCTAAAGAACCGGGTGTTTGTTTTAACATTCGGGTTGTCAAGGAGTTACCTTTGTGTTGTTGTTAATTAAGATTTTAATTAAAAGAAAAAAAATTGAATGTTTTTTATACATTACAAGTAAACGTCACATTTGCATGTAGTATCTTTTTATTCGAAATATGTACATGGGGGCATTGCACCTGTGTTCAAATTACAGAATATAAGTGATTCAATAGGACTTTTGTTTCTGCTTTAATGTTCAGTCATAATTTATTTAGTGAACGACATTCTGGACCTGTTGGCTCAAAACCCCTTATATTGCTACATGCATTAGCTAAAAGTTGTGTTTAATCGGCACACCTCGTCTTTGTATAAGTAAAAAAGTCAAGTATACCATCATCACATTGCTTGTGGTTCAAGGAGATATCCGTTATCTGAATAGCTTTCAACGCCGTTTTATCGCCTATTTTTTCACAAAAAACAAGGAATTTGTCTTGAAAGACGAAATACTGCATTTATTAAATTGAACTTTGTGTTTAGGGGTGTTATAATATATAAATATGTATTAAAAATCGAACGCTGGCACCAAATGTAATTAATCCCGTAGTTGTTGACCAGCTACGTCATTGTATATATTCCTTAGTTATAAAGTTACGTCGAAAACCAACCATTATCTCGCGACAATTAACAAAGCAAACAAACTGACAATAAAGAATTGTCCCTGCACCCAAAGCACAGATGTGCAAGAAGTTGTGTATAAAGCAACAAATCGGGTGTTTTTGCTCTAGCAGTGTTTATTTTTTAAAGGTAGTATCAAGATAAAAGGTGTACTTAAAAAAAAGTGGCAAGAATTAGTTTTATTGCTAAATATAGACTACCGGTAGGCTTTGGTAACGCTTCAAACCCCCCCCCCCCTGAACATCACATCACATAAAGGCAAAATCCTCATACACGTACATTAAACCTCCCATGACACGTTACATCAGTTAGCTTTTCTGTTTATAAAGGTTTTCTTCCCAAAGAGACACCTACCTTTCTCAATTCAGACATTAAAATGATTAAGTAAAAATAATAATAAAAATCAAATAAAATAAAAACCTGGTGTCGATGTATCCTTCTACAATGGAGAAAATATGACATTCTTAACCCTGAGCGCAAAATTAGATTTTAATTATATCCAAAATGGCATAGAATCCTTTTACATGAATGATTCTAGCTAACGTTTTTTGAATAGCAGAAAATTACTTTTACTCTGGAATCTGTGATATGTCACCTTTTAGTTTCATTCGGTCTCAAAATCTAGTTGAACATTTTATCACGCATAATAGGTTAATTTATTATACATTGTGATGGTAACTACAAATTCAGCAAGGTTAATAATGCATGATAATGTTAGGCAACGTGCATGAAACTCACTGAAGGAAAACCTGTTTGAAACAATCATTTGTCTGGTTTTCCCCTATAGTGTATTTTGGAATGCCTTCTGGAATCCAAATGCGTATGCTGCTTTGTACCCGGCGTGATATTTATTAATAGCAACATGTTTTATTTTATTTATTAATACACAACTTAGAATATGATATCCGAGCTTTTCTTTTAATTTTTGTCATGAAAAAAAATAGTTAAATCATTGTTTCTAAAAAAAAATAAATAATAAATAAATAAATAAATAAATAAATAATTTCAATAAAAAGGCGCTTCACACTTTTGTAGCCATGCAGGAAAGTTCTGTAATGTTATGTTTTCATAGGGTGAAATGCCTTGAACGTGATAATTGCCTCGTTAGTTGTCCATTATTTCCTTCCAGCAAACCACTGCACAAAAATCACAATTCATTGTTTTAAATCACCATTAATTGTTTAAAATAACCATTCGTTTTCAAACCCCCATTCATTTCATATGAATTATGTCGATTACCAGATATGCTTGACTCTGCGGTATTTATGAAAGGAACTTTTTTTTTAGGAAAATGCACTCTTTAGTTCATAAGGGCTGAATGGAAACAAATTGTGGAAATGGTTTGAAATTATATCACTGAACACCTTATAGACTATTAATAACATTCTATTGATTCTACAGAAAAGGGAAGATGAAGACCAGTATCGACCTGATGTTTTCCACCACAACTTTGCTGTTGACGCTTCTAGTCGTTTCGATAGTTGGCGCTGAGGAAGAAGGTATGTAAAGCTGTGTGTATATGCCATGTTTTATAAAAACCAAATATACACAAAAAAATCAATGATATGATAAAATGAATGCGGAACATTAGGGAGATTTAGCAAACTACAAAATACAGCACAAAAGGCGAAAAGCCTAGGTTGGTCACGTGATCAAAGCCATTTTACAAAGAGTCGCAGTTTCATGTCTCACAGGCAGAAGCACGTTTGGTTTCTTTTAAATGATTTACATTTGTATTTGTAGTTTTGCATTATCTGAAATGATCTACCTGTATATCTTATTAGCGGACTGTAGTTGGGGTGACTGGAGCCCCTGTGATGCTCCGTGCGGAGGCGGCATTCAACGGAGATCCATGGACTGCTGTGACTGCACCCCCAGGGTTGAAATCCGGTCTTGCAATCGGGATCCTTGTCCTGGTGAGTATGCAGAACCGGTTTGTAACCCAAATTGTTTGACGCGTGCATAGTACTGAATACATTCGATTCAAACTCAAAACCTTCAAAATAAACAATGCTGACAGAAGTTTGAATTTATGATAAGTATTTTAACCAAGAATATTTATGAACTTCACGAAATGTAACCACTGTACTAAACCTGTAAACTCAGATGAA